CATTGTGAGCACTGGGGCCGATGGTGGCCCATTGTGAGCACTGGGGCTGATGGTGGCCCATTGTGAGCACTGGGGCTGATGGTGGTCACGGCAAGAGCAATGTGGATAAGTCTCACCTTGACCGTCATGTCTCACGTTGAGAGGGATCTATTCCGTTCTTCCAGCCTTGAGCCATCCTTACATGGGCATATGTTTCCAAGGTTAAAAAATAAAATAAAAACTTAGCAGAAATGCAAGGATTGAAGTCCAAATTGTATGACAGAAGTTAAAATGTGGGTGCTACCTGTGGTTCAAAGGAGTAGGGTGCTGGCCCCATATGCCGGAGGTGGCGGGTTCAAACCCAGCCCAGGCCAAAAACTGCACAAAAAAAAAAAAAAGTTAAGACGTATCTTTGCCTAAAAGCTAACCAGACTATTGGAAATACGGAAATATTTTCAAACTTTAATAGGAGAAATGAAGGTTTTGACTATAGTTTAAATATATCAGTTGCTAATGAGCTGAAATTCAGTTTTGTGGGAAGCCAGCACCAAGAATTCCTACCCAGAGTCAGCCAGGTATCTCAGAGGATGGAGCTGAAACTACCAGTCCAAGACCACCCCGAGTAGGATCTAGGAGCCCCACTGCACTCAGAACACACTTTGTCACTCCCCTGGTATGTTCCTGATCCAGATGCATGCTGCTACCTGTTCCCCTGAGATAGGTGAGCTCCTCCCTGGGCTACAGAGGTGGCCTCCCCCCTGGGCTGCAGAGGTCACCTCCCCCCTGGGCTGCAGAGGTCACCTCCCCCCCTGGGCTGCAGAGGTCACCTCCCCTCTGGGCTGCAGAGGTCACATCCCCCCTGGGCTGCAGAGGTCACCTCCCCCCCAGGCTGCAGAGGTCGCCTCCCCCCCTGGGCTGCAGAGGTCGCCTCCCCCCTGGGCTGCAGAGGTCACCTCCCCCCTGGGCTACAGAGGTCACCTCTCTGCACGCTCTTTTTTCCCTTCCTTCCCTGAGCTTCAATTTGACCTTGTGGGCCTGACCCACCAAAGTGTCCTGCTCATGAGGGTTCCCCCCAGCCAGAAGTCCACTGCCTTCATCCATCAGCTCACACACACTGGTGTGGTCAGCCAGCCTCCGGGGGGCAAGCTCGTTAATTAGAGAGCACCAGGCCCAAAGTAGGCGCCCAGTAAATAACTGAAGTAAAGAACGAAAAGCTGAAGTAGCTTAAAGAGAAACAAAAGCAGGTGATTTCCTGTGTCTGGGGAGTTGGCCGCACTGAATGGACCTTCCCTCAGCTTCAGCCTGTTCAGTAATTGCTCATTGTCGAGGGCTGAGACGATTAAGATCAACCTGGGTTTTTGCCTTTGTTGCTGTTCTCACACGCACTAGCTTGACTAATGGGCTGTTTGTTTTTAATGTGCCAGGCAGTCAGGAGCCACCATGGCCCATTGGCTCATTTAAATATAGACCGGTCTGCTTGGTTTTCATTTTGCTTTTATTCTGTCTATCTGGCATTTCCTACTTGGACACCTTCACACACCCTCCCTCCTGGAGGAGCGGGCTGTGCTGTGAGGATGTAATGAGGGAGAATTGTATAATTATATGATAAGGTGGTCGGACCGACGTCCTGACTGGCCTTTCTACCTACCAGTTGGACCTGGAGCGTATGTGAGTGAGGGGAAAGCACATCACAGGCAGTCAGAACGAGGGGACCAGAGCACTGAGACGTGAGCCAGGATGAAGCAGCAGGGTGGACACCTGTTGTCCATAGTCCTGCTGGGAGTTTATCAAGGGCAAAGGAGAGGACGCCCAGAGGGAGAGCTAGGAGACATCAGGGCAAGACCAGCAGGCTGGGACAGTGCTGAGAGCTGGGCCCCTCCTCCCTCCCTCCTCCCTGCCTGCCCTTCTCCTTCTCTTCTTCCTTGGCCCCTACCTTCCTTCCTTCCCAGCCATTCCCTCCTTCCTTCCTTTTCTTTTTCCTCTCTCCACTTCTTCCTTTCCTCATTCCTCCCTCCTTCCCACAGTCCCTTCCTATTTATTTCCCTCCTTCCTTCCCTCTCTGCTTGCCTCCTTTCCTCCCTCCCTTTCTTCTCCCTGCACATCCCTCCTCTCCTTTCTTCCCTCCTTCTCTCCTTTCTTCCCTCCTCTCTTCCCTTCCCTTCTCCCTTCCCTCCTTCTCTCCTCCCTTCCCTCCTTCCCTCCTCCCTTCCCCCCTCCTCTCCTCCCTTCCCCCCTCCTCTCCTCCCTTCCATTTCCTCCTATTTATTTCCCCCTTCTCTCCTTCCTCC